GTGATCTGATTGAGATATTTCAAATAATAAACGGATTCGATAATGTAGCTATAGAGAAATTATTCCCTCTGTTCATATGTTCCTACTCTTTCTCTTGTGATTCACAAGCATGGTGATTTTTGCGTAAATATCCAAACCGAGCTAAAACCACAGATAAAACAGTGATTCTATATTAGCACTTTCCTTGCAGGGTGTTTGCCTGACTTTGCATCGTGACCAATTGAATCCTTCAATGTCTCCAGTTATGGAGGTTTTAATCTCAGGGCAGTGTGTGTATATGTGTGTGCATATCTCAAAGCTGTTTAAACAGACCATTCAGTCTTACTGGTCCATGCCAGTGTTTATACCCCACACAATAAACCACAGTTCCCATATCCCTTTATTCCCTCTCCCTCATGTATGCATAATGCTTCCTCAAGGAATTTCCAAAGAAGTCAGAGAGTTTTAGGAATGAGTCAAACTGTTTGAGTTAAACATCATTATGGGAGTTTTGGTTGGAAACATTGGCATTGTGAAGGTGCTATTAAACATAATTTTGTTTGCTCAGCGTTTAACATCCCGCACTTGGAGAAGCATCCCACAGCAGAGGTATACAGGCCGGAGAGAGGAGCTCTGTCTGAGGTGAGCTTTCAACCTATAACAATGTGTCCTCGGGTTTTTTAGGCTTCAGAATTGTACAAATATGGAGTCCCATAGTATATTGGTTAGAGCAGGCAGGGCAAAACATTGGGCAGGCTTCCTTACTCCACAGGCCTCTGTTTACCTAGCAGTAATGAGGAACCTGGTTGTTATACAAATGTAATTTTGTTGTTGTTAGTCAATTGGACGATCGCTTTCCAGGGTTAATAATCCCTTAAAAAGATAAAGAATAATTTGGTCACTCAATCCACGACTGTTTGTGGGACACTGCTGTGCGCAATTGGCTGTCGCATTTCACCCACAAAATATACAGTCAATTCACTTTACAGAATTATTATTAAATGTATAGCAAACAAGGGAGCCATCTGGCCCATTGTGTCTGTACTGATACTACTAGACTAATACCTTCAGTTCCACTTGTTCAGCTCATCGTCAACAACAACATCTTGCATTTATATAGCACCCTTCACGCAGGGCAGCTTCTTGGGAGTGCTTAGCGCTGACCCTGCTTGACATTGAGCCTGAAGAAAGGGGAAGTGACCATAGGTCAAAGAGAAAGGTCTTCAAGGATAACAGCGTAGTGCTGGGGATGCGCTGCATTATTGGAGGTGCTGTCCTTTGGATGAGACATTAAACCGAAAGTCCTGTCTGTGCCTGTTCAGGTGGACTTCAAAGATCCCATGGCGCAAATTGAAAAGACGAGAGTTTCTCCTGGTCAGCAATCCTCAAGATAAATTTGGCCATTAATTTCATGGTTGGTTAGGGATAAAAAATACAGTTACTACTCTACTGTAAAATCCTGTGAACAGCTTTGAGATGTTTCAACAATGTGATAAGATGCTACATTGTCAAACCAGTGTCAAAGGCCCTAATTGGGATGGTTTGGATGTGCCTCAGTTGAGTGTGGAGGGTGATTTCCAAATTGGAAGGTTTAAGGAAGCTTAACTTGGTTGATGATGTTAGGTCCTGTGGCCTTGTTTTTAGCAGATAATTGAAGGACATTTCACAGCATGTGGCAAGCAAGCTGATGGGATCTGACCAAGACCAAGAATGTTAGTGCAATCACTCCTGGAGGTTGAGATTAGCCAGGATTATAGTGAGGGTCAGACGGCAGTGCAGGGCTTACTCAAGTCTTGTTTTTGCTCCACAGATTGGGACCTATCTGACTGACGAGGAAGAGAAGCAAGTGGCCCGTGTGCTGTCGGAATTTGCTAAGCTGGTGAATAAAAGGCAGTTATTGGTAAACCCATTCTTCAAAGACTTTGACAAGGTGAGTGTGAGGTCCTTGGCTTCAAAAAGATCATTTCAGTGACAGCGAGATTCACTTCAGTGCTTCACATCAGGGCAATGCTCCCAGCCAGGGATATGGTGAAATTTGAGATGTGAATTAGAACAGCTATAATTGCAGTTCAATTTCACATTTAACCACTACTCTACAGGGTCCCCTAGCAGAGTGGTTCGCGCGCTCGCCTTGCAAGCGAGACGCCTCGAGTTCGATTCCCGGGTTGGGTGAAACTTTAAGCAGATTTCCTTACCCACACCCCTCTGTATACCTAACAGTAAGTAGGCACCTGGTTGTTAGTCGATTGGCGGATCGCTTTCCGTGAGTAATAATCCCTTCCTCCCCATCCCCCCAAAATTGGTCACTCAATCCACGACTGTGTGTGGTACACTGCTTTGCACAATTGGCTGCTGCGTTTTGCCCACAAAATACACAGTCAATCCACTTTACCATATATACCATACGGGGAGGACAAGTTTGCAGGACTATAGAGAGAGCGCGAGGGAGTGGGATTGATTTGGATAGCTCTTTCAAAAGAGCTGGCACAGACACAATGGGCTGAATGGCCTCCTTCTGTGCTGTATAATTCTATAATAATCTGTGAACTGTTTTGAGACATCTCAATGATATGATAAGGCGCTATATCAAATACAAGGATTATTATTTTTTATTACAAGGAGAAACTTCTTTACTCAAAGAATGACAAGTATTTAGAATAATCTACCAGGCAAATTATTAAAGATAAGAATATTAGGATTAATCATCACAGTATTAGTTGCTGGGGGAACATCAACATATCAGATGGTTACCTGGCCTAAAAATCAAATATGCTCCAACAGTCATATAAATTGTTTCTTTTACTGATTTTTGTTTTAGAGGAGGGGATTCCCCTGTATCCTGGCTAATAATGCCGCAGATAAAATTGATCATTCACTTCGTGGTTGCATTGTGGAACTTTGCTGCGCACAAATTGGTTGCTGCATCAAATATAGTCAAATGTGGACAAATACAATCAGTGCACTATAAAATCATTTCTGTGAAGTATGGCAAGAGAGAGAGCAAGGCAGAGAGATTGAACCAGAGATTCGGGAAGTAGGTACAGCCACCAATGGTAGAGCAGAGGGGTTGAGGGATAAACAGAAGGCCCGAGCCAGCCGAACGAATGGGGAGGGTGGAGGAGTAGGGGTGTGAGCAGATCAGAGAGGTCAGGAGGTGCTAGAGCATGGAATGGTTTGTAGGCCAGTGTGAGGATCTTGTAAGAAGTATATCACAAAGAGTAATGTCTCCACTTACCTCACCTGGCTGAGTGGCTTCCTCAAAGTTCCCATCCGACATTTAACTGGTGAATGTGTTTCATTCCGAAGAGAGTTGCCTACAAACGGCTTCTGACCAAGTCTCAGTTTACCCGGACGCTGGACTACCTGGGGCTGGGCGTGCTCCCACTCGATCTCCGACTCCTGTGTAAGAAGTTTGAGGACCCGGTTAGTGGAGATGTAAATTACGTAGCGTTCAGCCAGGCCATTGACAGAGGTGAGCAAATTACACATTCTCTCCTTGTATTACAAAAAAAAGTAAAAGAAAAAAAAGTGAGTGGTTGCTCCGTATCTGTGTATTTGGCAATGTTTCTGTGTTATTCAGATCATCTGGTCACAAAGAGAAAGTCTCTGCTTTTACGAGGAGAAGGTGCAGTGGGGCTGATTTCCCAACCTTTCCTGCATCATTTGCTGATTTGGGAAATGGTGCTGGGAGTCCAGGCTTTGATCCGGTGGTTGATCCTTGCTCCGGGTTAGGAAGATTAGTGCGCTGTGTTGCGTCACTATTTGGTGACCATTAACCCTTAGTTTGACAGTAAAACTTGCATAAGTCTGATCTGTATAAATCATATAATCGCCTAAGTCATGCATCTGCCCAAGTCCCATTCAAGAGTTTCTATTCTATGCAAGTTTGACATAACTTATACTTCGCATAAGTCATAATAAATGTATGGTCCCAACCGATACGATTTATGTGAGGTTTACTGTACTTGGGGATGCCAGCATGCAGTGCTCCCCACTCCCTCCCGCTGTAGATAATGGAGTTTCGGCCACAAAATACACAGTCAATTCACTTTAGAATCTATTCCGTGAAGTGCTTTGAGATGTCTCATCGAAGTGATAAGGTGTTGTATCAAATACAAGGATTATTATTACTATTATTAAATGAGAGATGTTAAAGCACACTCAACTCGTTGGTTCCTTTCCAGAATACACTGGTTTTAAAGTTGACTGCGATGAGCCTGTAGTCGATATGTCCACAGACGTTATCCCGGAACCAATAGTTCAAGAAAAGACCGTGGACTTAGATGAGCTGATTGCCCGCATGCGCCACGATATCCTCATCAACAGAAAGAGGGTAAGACCATCTTCTAATGTCCAATGCAATGTGCACAAACATATAGTTTGCCAATTTTCTCCCCGCCTTTTCTCAAACTCTTCCTAACGCCCAGTCGGTCCTTCTTCTTGTATGAACCCAGACAATGAACCTTGGCATGCAACAATTGTGTGTGTATGTGTGTGTGGAAGGGGGGGAGGGCAGTGAATCACAACCAAGTCAATGCTGTCCTCACCCACTGTTTGCACGTGTTTACTTCACAGTGGTGTGTGGAGAGTGGGTCATTATTACAGAAAATAACAGACCACTTTGGCAAATAGTGTATAATTCACTCTGAATATGGGTTTTCCGGTGGTTCCTTTATAAGAAATGCAAAAAATAGTTTCCAAATCAAGATTCAGTTTTAGGACGAAAATTTGTTTGCAATTCAGATCTGGCGGTGCTTTTTAATAGAACTGCGGAAGGAACAAAAAGGCTTCCAAAATAAGATAAAAATGAAGTAAGAATTTTCCACAGTTTGGTACACTCTTAAATTTTAAGGCAAGTGGTGCCACTGGTTGAGGCCGTTTGGAATTCCGGTTCCAGGCGTCCGAGAGCTAGCGGGAGGAGACTTGTGTTGATTTTTGAGGGGAACTTTTCCTTTCACAGACAGTTGACTTCATGCAAGACTTTGATGGCCTCCGTCGGGGCCGAATCACCACCTCAGTCTTCAGGAGGGTGCTCAGTATGATGGGATTCGACCCGCAGCTGACTGAAGCCCAATTCAAAGTGCTGGCGGAGTGCTACACAGACCCCTTATTGCCTGACCATATCCTGTGGCACAAATTCTCTAAGGACATGGATTTAGGTACAAACCATTTGCAAAGCACAGGGACTCTGGCTGATAAAATGATAATAATAATAATAGTAATCCTTGCCTTTGATATAGCACCTTATCATGTCGTCGAGATATCTCAAAAGACTTCAGAGGATATACTGTAAAAAGTGTATTGACTGTGTATTTTGTGGGCAAAATATGGCAGCCAGTTCTCCGATAAGTCAGTTGAGTAAACCTTACGTAAGCTCATGTCAATCTTGTTGCCTTCAGCACGATACAAGTGTAAGTCTCAGATCCAGTAGAAACCCATTGTGACTGGGGTGTCTTTACAGAAGTGTCTTTGCTGAAATCACCACCATCTTGGGTGTGTTGTAGTGAACGCTAATTCTCTTTCCAGTTTTCACCATCCCTGAATTGGAGAAGAAACCCAAATTGAAGCTCCCGCCGCAAGAGGACTTTCAGCTGCCCAAGGTCGGTGCCACTGATGCAGACAACCTGGAGGTCCAACAGAGGGAATTGTTTGAGGCAACAATGTGCCGCTTCAAGCAGCGGATCAGTCACAGGAATCTGCTGACTTATCAAGATTTTGCAGACTTCGATAAGTATGTTGCCACATCTATAGTTATTTGCTCCAAAGCTTAACTATAAAATGGGTCCTTTTCATTCCCAACGTTACAATCTGCAGAAGCTTCAAAGTAGAATTTGTTCTTTTTCCTTGAATTCAAGTAAATAAGAAATGATCTTTGTGAGAATAGAGGAACGACAGCCACAATTTCTTCTGTGCTGTATTGGTGTCCTGCTATCCTCACCCCCTCTCTTGCCTTCTTCAAGGCCCGTCTCAAGACCTTCCTCTTCGGTCCCTCCCTACCCCTCTCCTCCCTGCCCTCCAGATCCCAATCCCCAGCTCGGGTGCAAATATTTAGCTGTCCAGCACCTCAGGACATCCTCCCAATGTGAAAGGCACCATGCAAAAGTAATGTATTGCTGTTGTTTGGGGTTTGCAAACCCTTGAGGCAGTGCAGAGGAGAGCAATGAAGTTGAATCCCAGTGTTAAAAGGATGAGCTACAATCAGATAAGGTAGGGCTCTTCAGCCTTGGCAAGAGATATCTCAGATGGGATCTTATAGGAGCCAAATGAGTATCTAAATGGGATTGAGAAAGTAAACCTAGAACAATACTTTCAGATATGCCGAGGCAACAGAACAAGAATCAGGGTTGCTTTTCCCAGAAAGTAGTTTACAACTGGAAATGGATTGCCAGGAAGGTTGATTGAGTCTAGGATACTGCAGTTCATTGATGCTGTGTTGGGTGAGACAGCAGGAAGAAACTCCCTTCTCTTTTCGAATAGTGCCATGGGATCTTTAACAAATGAACAAGCAGAACAAGCAGACGGAGTCTCGGTTTAACATCTCATCCAAAGGACAGCACCTCCAACAATGTAACCTCTCCCCCCCCCCAGTATCAGCTTAAACTACGCAATTCCAAGTAGGCGTTGAACTCACAACCTTCTGACTCAGAAGCCGGAATGCTACCACTGCGCCAGGCTAACACAACAAAAACTACGACGGGGGTGAGGGATTTACCTTCCAAATTAAGGCTGAATTGAAGACTTTTTGTGAATTTTTCTCCAATAAATTCAATTTTAAGTTCAGGTGAATGTCACAGGGTAAGAGTAGGAGTGATTTTGGGCCTTCCGAGAGCTAGAGTTGACTTAGGGAGCTCCGCTGTATAGCCAAACAGATCAAATCCTTTTTCAGGTTCAACCATGGCCACGTGACTGGAACTCAGTTTCGCCGCTGCCTTACTCAGCTCGGTCTGCAAGCGACGGAAGAGGAGGTGAATGTGATCGAGGAGGTATTCTCGGATGAGATGGGCTTTAACTATATCAAGTTCCTGGAGGAGGTGGACCCACAGCTGAAGCCTGAAAGGAGGCGAGTATGAGAATCCAATAATGATGATCCTTGTATTTGGAATCACATCCGACCTTTCATAGCACATCACAGGCTGCAGTGCAGTACATAATCTGGATCAGAGAGTATTGTATATGAAAACACTGTTATAATAATAACAATCCTTGCATTTAACAGATCGCCTTATCACGTCGTTGAGACATCTCAAAGCGCTTCACAGAATATATTGTAAAGTGAATTGACTGTATTTTGAGGATGAAACGGGGCAGACAGTTGCGCACAGCAGTGTTCCACAAACAGTCGTGGATTGATTTTTTTTGAAGGGATTATTACCCCCGGAAAGCGATCTGCCAATCAAATAACAGCCAGTTTCCTACTTGCTGATGGGTAAACAGGTGTATGGAGTAAGGAAACTTGCCTGAGGTTTCGCCCTGCCTGGGAATTGAACCCGTGTCCTCTTGCTTGCGAGGCGAGCGCGCTAACTACTACACTACAGGACTCCCAAGTGTTACGTCCATTTCGCCTTCTTCCCTCACCACTCCTCCCTCCCCCCCCCTCCCACCCAAACTGATGATTCCCTATGGCGAACTTTCTTTTGCAGGTATGAGAAACTGATGAGCGACATTCACAAGCTGAACGCTGCTAAGAGAAACTTGGAGGTGGGAGCCTCATCTGACATTGACTGCATCTTAGCGAAGATTAAGACCAAGGTAAATACATTGATCACAGCCTGCCAGTCTGACATTCCCATTCATAAGAGCACCTCGCTCAACAACAATAACAACTTGCATTTATGTAGCGCCCTTCAAGCAGGGCAGCGTCTCAGAGCGCTTAACAGTGGCAGAGCCTGATTCCGAACCAGGGGGAGGGAGGACGAGACCATAAGCACATGCTCACTTCCTTTACCCAGAGACGACAAAAATTCTCTTGGAGATGGAGCTGGGTGGCGCTGGAATGAGGGGGGAGGGGGGGAAGGTAAGCGGTGTCTCCTTGGAGCTGAGATGACTCCAAGGCGACATATTTGATAATAAAATGTCAAAATTGAGCCAGTCCTCCATGGCACTGTTAATAGTCAAGTTCCTGAGCCAGGCAGTTCCACAGTTTTCCAGGGTACTGCTGTTGGCAGATCAGTCTGACCCATTGACAGGACTTAGAGGGGTAGTCTGAAAGCAGGGATTATTGCCACTCAGCTCCCCTTAACCTTGCAAACCAAAGCCCGAATGGACATGTAGTGGAAAGCTAACCAGACAGTGCTTTCAATGGCAAGCTATGTGGTTTTAGCTGGTTAACTCCAGAGGTTACCCCCAACAGATACAAGCCTTGGCTCTTGCCAATGTGAGCCCTAATAATGTTAGGAATAAGGTAAGAAGCGTGCATCCCTCCAGGGAGGGAGAGCTCATTTCATTTCCAGACACAGGGACATTTCTATTTGGAGCTGACAGGCATATGTGGAATTCTCAGTCTGGTTTAGATACTCTTAAGCATAGTGATGGGGTTGCACATGTGTTAGACACTGTCCAAAACCCAAATCTTCTCATTCCCTCCCAACTTTCTTATGTCCAATTCCAGGTTGTTGCCTATCATTTAACAGGGATTTCTAAGGGGAATACAAATCTTTCTAAGTATAACTTGGTTTGACCCACAAATCTACATAATTTACAATGTTTACAGACAACATTTCATTGATGGTCTTGGTAGAGGGAACCATTTCTCTCACAGAGGAAAAGGCACAATAACAACACCAAAGGGCAAGTACAGTATTGGAGTGAACCATTGTGCTTCTTGGCTTAAAATATCCTTTTTTGGAATCTGGTGATGTTTCAGGTGTATCGAGAGCGAATGAGGCTGGATGAGCACATGAGAGACTTTGATAGACTCCATTCTGGACGTATCTTAAAGGTCAACTTCAGGAGGGCTCTTGACTTGAATGAGTTTGAGTTGCAGCCTTCAGAGGTAGCAATCCTGGAGAAAAGGTAAGTTGGGTACAGCGCATGCGGCTGATTTCCTAGCATAATGGATCAAGTGGACGTTATCTTTGAAAAGAATCCGATTTCAATCGTGCCATGGGATCTTTAACTTCCATCTGATCAGGCAGACGGGTCCTCAGTTTAATATCTTAAATGAAGGACCGATGAATTGCAACAATGAGTATGACATTATTGTCACATACTTCCTCTATGTATAATGCTCAGTCCTGTCTTTTCTAACCTGGTTGGAGTCTCTCTGTATAGGAGATTGGGGAGGCAAAGACTTAACTTTTATTAAGGCTAACAAGAATAACAGAACTGCAGTCATGTGAATTCTCCCTTTCCTTTAGGTACGAATCCTGTAACAAGCCAGACTATGTTGATTACAAGCTTTTATTCGATGACATTGAATCCATTTTTACACTCAAGAATCTTGAGAAGTTTCCTCTCGCTGAGGTAGTTTGCTGTGTCCCCTAGTCACTTGTGTGCGAAGCACATATACACACAAGCGCGCGCGCACGCACGCACACACATGAACAATAAATCAAAGAGTGCATTTGCTTCAGCCTTCCATACCCATCCGCTCCTCCTATTGTGATCTACTGCTCGCTCCTCACTCCCAGCAGTCCACTATTGCTTGGCCAAGCTTTCAGGTACAATGCTCTACCTAAACAAACTCTCTTCCTGAACCACATTACCCCACTACCTCTCACTGCCCCGCTCTTTGCCCCACTGCTTCACTTCAAAAGCTTTCAAACTATCTTTTATGTGAAAGGCACGATCTAAATGCAATATTAGCAGAAATTCAGACCAGCGAGCTGGGGAAAAGGTTGCAAAAAAAAACAATGTAAAGGCCATTATTCTGGGTTGTGGGAGTGTTTGTGATTACCAGGAAAGCTGTGGGAAGCGCTTCAAGTCACAGTGTTTTGTCTTCCTTTAGGTTACACAGTTCAAACCTCCGGAGGATTGGACTCTGAATGAATTGTCTACAGAGGATGAAATTGCTTACTTGGAGGCAGTGGCTAGGCTGGCAGCCAAGGTAACCATTGAGCATATGTTAGTGATGGAAGCTGAAGGGCAGCAGAGTTGCAAAGCTACAACAGTAGGTAGAGCTGAGGAATGTTGCAATGGGAATTTTTGGGTTGAATTCGCCACATACAGTATTGGACAGTGTAGGCACATGACATTCAATGCCCGTTGGTGGCACCCATTCACAGATTAGTAAGAGTAGCTAAATTTACTGCCATCCTTCGCATGAGATGTTAAACTGAGCTCCCGTCTGCCTGTTGGATGTTAAAGATCCCATGGCGCTATTGGAAAAGAGAAGGGAGTTTCTCTCTCCCGGTGTTCTGTCTAACAAATCCCCCAAACGAAATTGGTCACTCACTCCATGGCTATCTGTGGAACATTGCTGTGTGAAAACCGGTCTCCGTACCATTTAGTGTCGTGCCTTTCGCCCGGAGGACGTCCCAAAGAGTCTCTCAGGATATACAATAAAGTGTAGTGAACGTGTGTTTTGTGAGCAAACGTAGACACCAAAGGAAAGCTGAGGTATAAGTTGCATGTAGCAGAGACAGGTAGAGCTGTAAGAGATTCAGATGGAGACGTCCAATTCGGTGGTGAACAAATATCTTAAGTAATACAAACAGTTCAACTTATTCTTAAAACTGAGACCATAGATACAGTAGAATCGACATCGATTCCACTGGGAAGTGCACTGACCCCTCTACACAACTCCCAACTCTTCCAAAGTTGCATCTTTTATTTGTTTCTAACTCCGCCTCCCCTTGTCACAGAGATAGCCCCCACCCTTCGCAGGATGCTAGCGAGCGATCTTTGAGCAGGCTGTTTTTGCGTGGGAAAATAACTGTGAAGAAAAAAGAGATGGACAGCTAATTGGAAGGATTCCTGTTTCTTAGTCTTGAGATAATCAGATATCCAGGAGACAGCATCTCTCCCTGAGCCTCTTTGTTTTCACATCTGTGCTCAAGGACATGATTACTCAGTTCCTAGCTGGGAAGATGGCATCAACCCAGACACCTAGCGAGAGAAAGTTATCATAACCTGACCTCAGCTGGGATCAAGCCAATATATCTTTAACTTTGCTGATGCTAATTGGCACATGTACCCTCTCAGGGGCCATTAAAACACCCCATGTTGTCCATGCCCTAATAACTAAGGAATGATCCGCCCCATGACCGGAAATGCCTGAGGGGTGAGGCAGTGGCAGAGTCTGCAACATTGGCAGACTCTGCCACTGCCTCACCCCTCAGGCTGCCGAAAACCTCACCCACTCATTCGTCACATCAAGGCTCGATTATGGAAACTCCCTCCTCATCGGCCTTCCCAACTCTTCCCTTCACAAGCTGCAGATCATCCAAAACTCTGCAGCTCGTGTACTCTCACGCACCAGGCTCCGTGATCCCATCATTCCCACCCTCGCCCAACTCCACTGGCTCCTGATCCCTTGGAGGATGAATTCAAGATCCTCGTCCTCACTTTCAAGGCCATCCATGGCCTTGGCCCCTCCTATCTTTCTGACCTGCTGACTCCCTACGAACCTGCCCGTTCCCTCCGTTCAGCCGGCTCCGACCCGCCCTACCATAGATGGCCGGGCTTTCAGCCTTTCTGTCCCCACACTCTGGAACTCCATCCCACAGTCCCTTCGCCTTGCTTTCTCCTTTGCTGCCTTCAAGGCCGACCTCAAGACCCTCCTCTTCGATCATGCCTTCAGTCGCTCTCCCTCCTTTCTGCCTTCACTCACCCTTACCCCACCCCTCCCCTATGCTAGGGTCCTGACCTCTGACTGTCCAGCGCCTTGGGACATCCTCCCGACGTGAAAGGCGCTCTATAAAGTGTCCCATTGTCAGCTCCAGCTGCTCTTCCCATCTCCAGAAGTACCCCTTAAGCATGCCAGAGGGTAACATCCGTCATGAAATTCCCAAAGAATCCACTAGAGGCTTTGTGAGAAGTCGACCTTCAGCAATCCAACACACAACTTCACAACACCCGGTCCACATTCCTGAATAGACTTGTTCAGCAACTTGGGCCAGGGCTCATTCCATTTGAAATTGCCTCTCACATTACTCAGTAGCGGAATTCAGATGAACCAGTTTTTCTTACCATTAATTGACGACATCGTAGGTTAGGTGCGGAGTAGAACTCCCACCGCACTGTCCATCTAGCAGTTCCCAGTCAGGTATGACGTGGCTTTTGTACAATGAATATCCTCCCATCATGAAAGGTGCTATGACAAATGTAATTTGTTGTTGTTGGTACCTCAGGACAGGAAAGACTCCTAAAATCTCTGGTAAGAACGGAGGCAGAAGTCGACATATAGCATATCCAGACCTCAAAAGAATTTTGAACCTATTTTACACAATGATTTACAAATAGTGTGCAGCACGGAAACGGGCTACTTGGCCCAACCAGTCCGTGCCAGTGTTTATACTCCACACGAGTCTCCACCGACTCCTCCCTCTCCCATACCTTTCTATTCCACTCTCCCTGATGTGCTTACCTAGCTTCCTCTGCAACGCATCTGGAAAAGATTGAAGGCGCGGTCTCTTCCTCTTTGACCACGCCTTCGGCCACACTCCCACCCCCAAACTCCCTACCCTCCACCCCTCTTGATTCCAAACCCCCAGTCTGGTGCAAACCCCTAAGTGTCCAGCGCCTTGGGACATCCACCCGATGTGAAAGGCACTATATAAATGTAATTTGTTGTTGTTGTTGGAAGCCTGAGCCACAGGTTCTTGGGAACAACTTCCCTCCACACTGCAGTTAAACGTTAAAGTCCAGGAAGTCCTCTATTATTCTACTCAGTGGGTCAAAGGTCCTCTACCTCATGCGGGTGATGGGAGACAGGAATAGTGGGGGGGAGAGGGTGGGGATGGAAAAGGTTCATTAAAATGGAATGATCCTGAGGACCAGAAACCAATGGAAGGAGACAATCTAATGTACATTAAAGGAGTCCCACTGCATAGTGGTTAGTGAGCTTGCCTCACAAGCAAAAGGAACTGGGTTCAATTCTTAGGAGGGGCGAAACCTTGGGCATGTTTCTTTGCTCCGTATGCTTCTGTTTACTTAGCAGTAAGTAGGAACCTGGTTGTAGTCGATTGGTGGATCGTATTGTGGGAGTAATAAACCCTTTTTTTTAAAAAAAAATGGTCATTCAATCCATGACTGTTTGTGGGACACCACTGTGCAAATTGGCTGCCCCATTTCACCCAGAAAATACACGGTTAATTCACTTTAGGGTATATTCTGCGAAGCACTTTGAGATGTTTCGACGATGTGAAAGGCGCTATATCAAATGCAAGGATTATTACAGCTATGTTTTGTCAGAGTAATAATGGGCCTGTTATGGAATTGGCAGGTGAGGAAGAAACAGCTTCAGCTCTTCCCACTCTTTGAGGATTACGACACCATCCACATTGGCCGGATTTCCCAGTCGCAGTTCCACCGAGTCCTGACCGAGCTGGACCTGGACAACGTGCTAAGTCTGAAGGACATCCGGGCCATACGCCAGAAGTTCCGGGTCAAGGTGGGAAGCCGGGACGATGTTGACTACATTGCTTTTTGCGATGCGGTTTACGATGCAGCCTGCATGAACAAGAGGATGCCCTAGCCAGTAAGCCGGTGACCTCCACTGCAGGGCTAACTCTCAGGAGAGGTTTGAATCAAATTGGGAAGGTTTTATTTAGAGACTACTTTGAATTCATAGCAAATCAGCGAACATTAGGAATGATTATTTTTTTGCATCTCGCATAATGTATCTGACGCCTTGAGGGTGTGTCACCAGATAAAATGTAGCACTTCAAGTTGCCAATGGTGTCTTCTGACATTTTCCATCGCGTCACATTTACATTCTCCACTCACTAGTGTATTCACTTATTAACGGTTGAAGCTTCTCTCCATGATGCTAGTTGAGCAGGAAAAGCCATCTCAGGGCACAGCAGAAATCCACAAAGCAAGCATTTTAATTTCACTGAAATTACTTTTAAGTACATTTAAATAAATAAATAAATTGATCACGCAATCCACGACTGTTTGTGGGACACTGCTGTGTGCAATTGGCTGCCGCGTTTCGCCCGCAAAATATATAGTCAATTCACTTCAGTATATTCTGTGAAGCGTGTTAGTGTTCCCTGGACTAAAAACTTGATCCAATCTAAACCACGTGCCCACGTCAATAAACGGCAAGATGTTTTTCAAATTACATAATTCCTTTTTTTTTTGACGTGCAGAAACTCATCACTGTGTTTAAGAGTTTCCAAATAAAACTATTTAAGAGTTCCACACATAGGTGGAAATTTCTGGTTGCCTGGAATGGAGTGAATGCACTCTCTCCCTGGAAAGATGCACCCTGCTCACCTAATCCCGGAAAGTATTCGGCAGTTTGGTGAGTGCCGAGGCTTGCGACCCAGTGAACGCTATTAAAGGTTCTGTTGCAGTATAATTAGACAAGGTCACAAGAGAGAGGTTTGCATAAGAAGAGGCTTTGTCTCATTGTTGCAGAATACAAGCCTACCATCTCTCTGTTGCAACCTCAAGCTGTTTCTTAAATGAATCCAGCTTCATAGCCTTTTGGGCAACTGGTTCCAGATGTTAATTCCCCTCTGTAAAAAATGCTTCTCATCATCTGTTCTAAAAAACCCTTTGACAAACATGAGCCTACGCTCTCTTCTGCTGCCACTAGCGTTATGGAATTTTGAAGGGAAAGGACGTGGGCAGTTGTGTTGGGAGGCTTCATCCTTTGGCTGAATCATTCAACCGAGGTCCTGTTTGTCTGTTCAAGTGGATGCTAAAGATCTTATGGCACGATTTGAAAAGAGAGGGGAGTTTCTCCTGGTGTCCTGGCCAACAACTCCTTTAAATAAAATTGGTCATTCATTCCTTGGCTGTTTGTGGGGAGATTCCTGTGCGCAATTGGCTGCCGCATTTTACCCACAAAATACACAGTCAATCCACCTCACAGTGTCTGTCTGAACGATGTGATAAGGCGCGATATCAAATGCAAGGATTATTATTACTTTTACAGTGATGTGCTCACAATTGTATATTTAACAGGGCAGGGAGGGTTGACTTTGAGTCAGAATGAGGCGAACCCACTCGTAGTTTATAGGTAGATTACTCTTTCTAAATACGTTCATGGTAAAAGAATGTTAGACGCAAGCACACAACAAAGATGTATTATCAGTGAGTGGTAACACAGACAATACAGAGAAGCAAGAATGTTGGCAGCGTGGTGAATTACAAAATTAAATGGACTAATATAGGAAACTTTAATTTAGGCCGATTACAAACCACTGGTGATGATGACACATTAGCCAGATATCCTGGAGGGAGCTGGATCAAGTGATAAATTGTGTAAACAGTGGAATGCTGGTTCTGCAGAGCAGCACAAGCAGCACTGTCAGGGGCACATAGATCGCAAGAGAGCTTTAGGAAGGCACTTCGGCCCATTTGGTCTTGTTCCAAAAAACCCACCCCTATTCTTCCTATGATAATAATAATCCTTGCATTTCATGTAGCGCCTTATCACGTTGTTGAGACATCTCAAAGCCCTTCACAGGATTTACTGTAAAGTGGATTGACTGTGTATTTTGCAAGAGAAACGCGCAGCCAGTCTTGCACAGCCAGCCACAAACAGCTAGGACACCGGGAGAAACTTCCTTCTCTTTTTGAATAGTGCAATGGATTCTTTTACATCCACATGTATCTTGGTTTAACGTCTCATCCAAAGGATGGCACCTCTGACAATGCAACATCCCCCGGCGTTGCATTGGAATGTTATCTTAGAAACAGTGTTAAGCTGTTTCTTAAATAAATTCAAGCTACTGGTCTTCATTGCCCTTTCCATTCACCCATTCCAGCTGTTAACCCTCTGGATAAAAAAATATTTCCTGGTCTCTGCCCTAATATTGTCGTTTGTAACTCTGAACCTGTGCCCTCTTGCCCTGTTGTCTTGATGTATCTGTTCTGGGTTTCCTTTCCCAAACCTATTTTTTTACCTCGCATACTTTTATCCTCTCTGAGATATCCTTTGTGAAGGATAACGAGCCCTAGATCGCTTCATAGTTCCTCACGGTTCATCCTATAGGAATTTATAGCACTGGAAAAGACCAGTGAGGTTAGTCCACTGACCTATCCCATAGCAAATAATTTTTCTATAAAATTAAACAATCCTCACTTCACAGTCGGATCTCTCAATCAAAATAGCTATCGAGTGCCCTTTTGAATGTGCAGTTAGAAATTACTCCACCACCTCCCTGGGTGCTTGCACATTCACAAGTCTTGGTGTCAAGTAATTAGAAATGAAATATTGCTCACATTCCCTCTCCTGAGCTCGAGTCCCCTTGCTCCAGATTATTTCACCATATTAGAATTCACGGTTCAATGAACATGAAGTTCAATTCACTTCATGGCTGTTTCAAGGTCATTTCTGTGCACGAATTGGCCGACATGTTCATCTACAAACTACACAGTAACTACAGTTTACAGAATGTCCTGTGAAGCGCTTTGAGATGCCCTCCTGACAGGAAAACGTTTTATCAAATGTATAAGGAATATTATTATAATAAGTCACAATCATGGCCTTGTCATGTTGTGATGTCCTGGGAATTGTCTATTGAACAAGGCAGTGAAGGTTTAGTTTTGAGTCAGAATGAACTAAACCCAGTCGTAACTCGCAGCTCTCAATGGCAAGCTATGTGGGTTTAGCTGGTTAGTCTCCAGCCGTTATCCCAACGCACACTCTGGGGTCCTCAAGTCTTGGCTCTTGCCAATGTGACCCTAATATTTTCCAGAATTAGGTAAGTAGGATGTGTCCCTCCAGGGAAAGAGTGCCTATTCTATCCCAACAATCTCTCTCTGGAATTTCCATATGTAGGTGGGATGGATGGAATTCTCAGTTTGGTTCGGATACTCTTAAGTACGGTGATGGGTTTCCGCATATTGTATAAAATTGATCATTTACTTCATGTCTGTTTTAGGACAATGCTGTGCGCAAATTAGAAACATAGAAACAGGAGTAGGCAATTCAGCCCCTTGAGCCTGTTCTGCCATTCTATAAGATCATGGTTGATCTGTACTTCAAGTCCAATTATGCACCCTTGCCCCATATCCCTTAATACCCTGACCAAACACAGTCGCTAAACTTTACTGTAAAATCATGTGAAGTGCTTTGAGACAACAACAACTTGCATTTATATAGCAACCTCCACTCTGGGCAGCATCCCAGAGTGCTTAAGATGATGTTGATGATGACGTAATTAAGGCGTTGTATCAAATGCTAGGATTTTTTTTATTATGATTATTTTATATTCCTCCTTTTCAGGCATTTACCTAATTCCCTCTTAAAAGCTAACGTGGATTCTCGACCACAGTTCTAGGTGAGCATTCCGCATCCAAACAATGAGAAGAGACCAGATTTTATTAATTTGAGCTCTAAGGTAATGACAGCACAGCCTCACAGTTCTGAGCTGGCAAGGTAGATTTGAGGAAGGAACAAAGAGAAGAATATAACAGCTCATTATTAAATGATAACATTAATTTCCATATTTCTGTTTCAAAATGGCAGTTGCTGCAATTTATTCCGTTCTGGAGGTAAGGAACAGATTTGGAATTATCTGTGACATTTGTGACATTTATTAACTGGAGTGAGATGACTTACTGCGGTGCGTTCAATTTGTTGGAAAACATGAATNAAAAATAATCCCTCGGTGTAGCCAGTGTAACATCAAATTGCAGTCAAGAAGCTTGATTAAAAATCGTGACTGACCAAAGCAGATGGGATCAGGCTCGGGGTCAGGAGTGTTTGATTCCTGTTGCCGCCATGGATCAGGTAAATGAACCACAAAGCACCAACGTCACAAACAACAACTCGCTAACAGGGAATCCTGATGGTAACTGGTGACCACGTGGTGAAGGTACTCACAGGATCCGCAGCGCAATGAGTCATCTCACTCCATAAGTAGATCGCAGGGATTCTGTCAGTGGGCCATGTGGGGTCCTGCAGTGTAAATGGTGAGCACACTCGCCTCGCAAGCGAGAGGACCCAGGTTCGAATCCCGGGCAGGGTGAAACCTAGGGCAAGTTTCTTTACTCCACACGCCTCTGTTTAACTGGCAGTAATTAGGAGCTCGGTTATTAGTCGACTGGAGTATCACTTTGCTGAGGTAATAACCTTAAAAAAATTCCACAAAATCCCTCCATCCACGACTTGTGCACAATTGGCTGCAGCATCTCTGCCACAAAATACACTGTCAATTCACTTTACAGTAAACTCTATGAAGCGCTTTGAGACATCTCAACAAAGTGATAAAGCGCTATATCAAATGCAAAGGTTTATTTTTAATTAAAGGTCTCTTCACTCAGTGGCACCAGAGATACAATTAACGCCAGACATTGCTTAGAGTGTAGCGATATATTAGAAAACACAATTGTGTAATTTTTACAACAGGAATGTTTAATCATGCTGTAAATTCTAGGCCTGTTGTGATTATGCCCTGGGTATTAAACCAATTCATTATTAGCAATCAAACTAAATCCCCACTACAGGATTCAGTTCCGTCTCCATTCAAGTGCAAAAGGATTGCAATTTATTTATATTTGTGCACAGGAGGTGATCAAGGGAAATAAAATGCTACAAGGTAAATATTAATCCAGTGGTAGTGCTCTCTCAGTAAATATGCTTGAGTTTAAAGTAAAAGTTTAACTGGGTCTAGCTTTACTCCATTAATGTAGCAGGTATAAGCCTGCCTCAGTTAGCAGCGCTCTTGCCTCCAGTCAGACAGTTGTGGGTTTGTTCAAGCCCCTCTTCTGCGATTTTGAACTCATATAGTTTAAGCTGACACTCCAATACAGTTCTGGGTTGCATTGTTGGTGATGCTTCAGATGATACATTAAACCAAGTCTCACCTGCCTGTTCATGTGGACGTTAAAGATCCCACGAAGGGAGTTTCTCCCGGTGACCTAGCCAACAACCTCCCCCGAACCCGCCCCCCACAGATACAATTTGTCACTGATTT